ACAGTAGGTAAGTTGCTTGCATTGCACGCAGCTGACTACATTCTCTCTGTACACAACATGTAGTCCTGAGCACCACCAGGAGTGATCCCTAAACACAGAGTCAGAGAAAGCCCTGAAATCTGGGTGTAAGCCAAATCCCTCACCCACAGATAGTGTTTCCATTTATATGAAAATTGATCAATTGATATTTGATGTTAATAAATTGTATTATTCTCAGAGCAGGAGATGTTGCTCAATGTAGAGCAACTGACCACAATTTGATCTTTGATACCACAAAACACAAACAAAACAGCAACAACAAAAACAGAAAAAAGCAAACAAACAAAAAAATCACCAACTTTCCACTCTTTCCAGTCCCAGGTAACAATAATAATAATAATAATAATAATAATAATAATAACAATTTCTTTATTATTAAGAAGTTGCATTACTAATTGCTATAATTAATATATTATCATATATGAGGCATTGTTCTTAGTGCTTTTATATGTTAATTCATTGAGTTTTCTAAAAAGAAATGCACCTTATTTTTTTGTTTGTATAATTACTATTGTCCATTGTATGATCATGGAAACTGAGGCATGAGAGATTAAGTAACTTGCCTGATGTCAGCCAGCCTCATATACAGTAAGTCTGAGTTAACCACTGTATTTTGCCAAGCCAAACAATCCTTTCTGTGTCCAGTCTTCATAAATGGGAGTTAATTTGAAATTTTGTTTAGTTCTCATGAAATTCAATAGCTTTTAGCCTTGTGGGTTGAAGGAAAAAACTAAGTGAATTAGCTGGCTCCATCTGAGATGTTTCAGCCAGAAACTTCTAAGGCACAGAGACTATGGGCCTCAAGTGTAAAAATGAGCTGTGTATTATCTTTCAAAGCCACCTTGGTCTTTGGGAAAATCCTTGGGCCTCCCTGTGAGTCCACACATGATCATTTTGTCAGTTTGATGAGAGTCAGTCCCAGGGGAAGGACAGTGTGCCAGGGAGGAAAGATGGAGGAAAGGGGGACATTAAATCTGTGGTTGCTTACAGCATCTGCCTTTGATGCTGTCTCTAGGGGACACACAGATCGCCTTCTCTCAGTCAACAAAATCTACGTCTTCTCAGCAGTTTGAAAGGGGGAGAGCCCTTGAAGGCATTTTGCACTGACAAGCTGATTTCTCTTAAAGCTCTCGAATGTAATAGAAGCCATCAAAGGCGAGGGATATTAGGAGGTTGTTTTGCTCGATGGCAACAAAATTCATAAATTTTCAGGCAACTCCTTTCCTTCTATCAGCGGTTCAATTAGTGGCAGAGTAAATGAATAATACACGTTTGTTAGTTTGTGTACTATTTTTCTAGAGGTCAATTCTGTTTTGTTGCAAACAAATTTGTTTAGAAAGCTGAGGGTATCTTTCGCTGCATTTGTAGCTTCTGCTAGACCATAGTGTGGTCCATTCATAATCTAAGGGAGGAAGTAAACTCGAGGAACTCTAAAGGATACCATCATCCCAGTCTGCCTTTAAAAACCCTGAGGTCAAAAGGGAAACTTCTTTCCTCTCTTGAAACACATGCAGGCAAGGACCACTATTTAATTTCCTTCTGTGGGAGAGAAAGCGAAGGCACGACTTCTTGCAAAGAGCTGGAACAAAGCTGTATGAATTCAGTCTTTAGTTTTTCTGTTGCTGACATCTTCAAAAAAGTCTAAGATAGCTAATTGAATAACTTACAATTAGCTTACTCTTAATTACTTTGGAGCCAAAATTACTTACTGCTTTATTTTAGTACAGTTCACTGTAAATGTCTTTTTTAAATAGAAAAAGTACAATGTTTCTTCATTTTTATAAAGTTTGAATGTAATTAAAGAAATAATTATGGTAGAAGCGGGTGTTGCCTGTAATTCCCACCTTAAGTTGAAAGATTGATTTAGCCTGTATTAAACACATGCATTTACTTTATTTAGAGTCACGATCACGATCACGACCACCCTGTTGTTCATCGATTGCCTCGAGCAGGTGCCAGTAACGTCTTCTTCATCCTAGCCCTGAGATTTTTTTTTTTAAAGTGCCATATTCAAGGCTTTTTCAGGGTTAGGAGAATGAGACCCATCGTTGTTACTGGTATTTGGCATATTGGGTATACCACGGGGAGTTTGCCAGACTCTGCCGTGTGGGCATGTTACATTTGGTAGCCTGCCAGTTTGACCAAATTAGGAATGAGATGATAAGAGGTCCTGCGACCGCGAATGCGGTCGTGCGCTTCCGGGAGCTGAGTATGATAATCTCTGGATCCTGGCCGTTGTTGGAGTTACACGGCAGTTGGTGGGTGTAACTGTCTAGTTACTGGCAGGTCCAGTCCCAAACTGTGCAGGCTTGGAGATCTCAGCCCCGGGTCCCACACACCTGGGTTCCTCTGTCAGTTCTTTTATGCGTGAGGCTCATCCAAGTGTGTGGAGAGTGGTCCCAGCATGGCCTTGGCTGGGCCTCGGTGGTCTTCAGCTGTTGGGCCCTGGTGGAGACAGTCAGGCATAGGGTAGGAGACTCTGCCTTGTTCTCTCCTAGGAGCTGAGTATGATGATCTCTGGATCCTGGCCGTTGTTGGAGTTACACGGCAGTTGGTGGGTGTAACTGTCTAGTTACTGGCAGGTCCAGTCCCAAACTGTGCAGGCTTGGAGATCTCAGCCCCGGGTCCCACACACCTGGGTTCCTCTGTCAGTTCTTTTATGCGTGAGGCTCATCCAAGTGTGTGGAGAGTGGTCCCAGCATGGTCTTGGCTGGGCCTCGGTGGTCTTCAGCTGTTGGGCCCTGGTGGAGACAGTCAGGCATAGGGTAGGAGACTCTGCCTTATTTTTAGAGTATATTTAGAGTATATCTATTAATTTTGAGCAGCTATATTGTATTGGGCAATTGTAGAGAAACACCTAATTAGGCTTTGCAGAGAAATGGGAGCATGCAGTATTTTAACTGATGGAGTCAGTGAAAACCTCTTTCCAGACACCAAACAGTGACCATACCTTCCACTCTGCCCTTTCCCAAATCTCTTCCCTCCTAAGACACCACCAATGATTCTCTCTACAGATGAATTCAATTTGTTTTAGTCTCTCTTGTTCCATTTTCATTGATTACCTGTTTCCTTCACCTCCTTGTTTGATTCTGCTACATTTTTAGTGTTTTTAGAATTTAGTTCAAATCCTCTTTAATAAGAATAAAGTCTCATACTTAACAGTCGTTTTGGGGACCTGGAATCTTCCAGAACTCTTCCTTTGTCCACATTTGATTTGAGATTCTTTTTGCTCTGTAGCAAATGTGGCAAGCTGGTTTGGGAAAGAGATTTTTAATATGTAGGTATTATTCTGAAATACAGTCATTTAAATTGTTTGAATTTGAAAGTAATCTGGGTGGAAGTTCATTCCATAATAGCTTAAAGGCTATAATTTGTGGTGACTCCAATACTTGGTTAAATATATACTACAAATCAGAACATTATATATAATAGTGGCATAGAATTAAGTACTTTTATTTTCCACTGTTTATAGGTTGATATATTCAGAATTAACTATAGTAAACTAAAAATATGGAAAGTTGGCAAATATATATATATGTGTATACATACATAACATTGGATTTAATATACTTAATTTGGGAGTAATATACTTCATTTTCTAAAAGGGTTCTATTTTTCTTAAATTATTTAATAGTACTTTGGGGAGAGTGTTGAATGGCACAATTTTCAAGTAGAATTTTTACAATAAAAAATTTGTAATTGAACTCACTGAGTAGCCCTCAAACAATCTTCCTCTTTTAATCTAACAACCTCAAAAATAGATTTCACTTTCTTTATTAAAAATGAGTGGATGAATATCATTTTAAGAGAAAATGAATCCATAAATGAAGGATTTTTTGATGTAAAAGAAGTTTTAACTTCCCTCTTGGATAGGAGTGTGTGAATGTGGGTATTTATAAGAAAATACACTTTCTCTTTAAAAATATCTCCGGGATAATTCTTTTTGTTTGTATTTATGATTTAGGATCACCTGAAAATAGAAAAATAATCCAAATGTATTTAATAAATATGCTTTACAAAAACAAATATGTTTTCTGTATTAATCCCCCAACTCACATTTCAGGTAAGAATTCGTTCAACCCTGACTCCCACGTGGGTCACTGCTGTTTAATAAATGCCTTTGTTATTATGGAGAATCCAAGGAAGGGAAGCATTAAGGAATTTTGGCTCCCATGTCCAACCCTTCATTCTGTTCCTCCCACCCAGCCTTCCTTGCAGAACAAACATCACAGATGGATTATTATCTTATGGTCTTTCCACCAGCGGTTCTTTTTGCATGAGATGTCCCTTTCCAGTTGTTTGCTTCCTCAACCATTCTGCTTTCTTGATCATAATCTCATTGGTCTTCCCTGACTGTCATGTTTAAGTTTTCACTTCTTCTCCATACTTTAGACTCTCTCCCTACTTGTTTCACTCATCTTCTTAGTCCTCTCATTACTTGATACATAAAATTTTATACAATTGCATGTACACTGCCAGTGGGACCCTTCCTATCACCCATTAGAGCAGAAATTTTTCTATTTGTATTACTGGACCCTACCACACAATTGGCACTGAATAAAAATTTGTGAAATAAATAAATGGAGGTGTAAGTATTATTTTCTAGTATAAAATAAGACTGAATATCAAAAGTAATTCTGGGGTCAGAGAAATAGTACACAGGCAGGGCATTTGACTTGCATGCGGATGACATGATTTTTGGCCCACCACCCCATATGATCCCCTGAGGAGTGATTCCTTGAGTGCAGAGCCAAGAGTATGCCCTGAACACAGCTGGGATTGATACCGCTCCCCCCCAAAAAGTTTATCTGATCTGATCTTTCCCCCACCTAATAAACTGTCAGGCCAAGACAACATGATGTTGTGAAATATAATTTTTTTGGTGTATTCATCATTGGGCTATTAAATAATAGTCAATAGTTGCCAGATTACTGGATCATGTAGAGAACATCATAGAAGTAAGTCGTTAATATATCTATCCTGAACCCAAATTTCTGTTGAAAACTCTTATAATGATCTGGCTTCTGAAGTAGCTCATTAAAGGACAAGAGTAATTTTTTGCAATTATCTATTCAGGTAAAATATTGATAGTTTAGTTGATTTCTGTTTTCTCGGGCACTGCCACTATAAATGTTTCTATGCTATTATTATTGGGAAGATCTGGGCTTTATGGACATGGAAAGGAAATATGCAAACCATTTTCAGATTGTATTGATTTGCAATATCATGGCACCCCAGTGTCACTCAGATTACTTCCCAGATTCCCTTTGATCAACTGTTTGAACATAAAATGCACAGTTATTAAAAGCTGAATGGAAGAAAAAATGGAGTATCAGGATACCCTTAAATGGCTGAAATGAAAGATTGTAAGCAATAACTTATTAATTATTGTTCAGATTACTACTCCATAAAATGAGTCAATAGATTATTGAGTAACATCTGTCATTAAGAAGCAGTTAAGTGCGATGTGTGTAAACAATGACTATGGAGACCCACTAGCAGAGTTCAAATCCCATTTTTTTCTACTTTTTAACTACATAAACCTTGAACAAGTTAGCTATCCTCATTAAACCTGGATATCCTCAATCTATTATAATATTTGCTTCATAGAGTGGATATGAAGACTTAGTCAATACATGAATACTACTTAGCAAAGTTCCTAGAACATGTGTAGTACTCAATTATTTTAGATAAAACAATAGTGGTCATGATAGTTCATTTTTAAAACAGTAATGATGAAAACAACACAACAGTTTGAATGACTTTATGACTTTGTGATTATATTCTAACACATTTGTTAACAAAATATGAGTACATCATTAAGAAAATCCTGCTTAAATGTACAACTTGAATTGAAATTTCTACCAAAGATTACAAATAGACAACAAGCATGAAAAGATGCTGAACATCATTAGTTCTTAGGGAAATGCAATCAAGATCTAAATGAGATACAACTTCACACTCATTAAGATGACTATTATCAGAAAGCAAACATATAACACACCAGAAGACAAATATTAAGAGGATGTAGAAATTTGGGACTTTTTGTATATGAATGGAGAGATGGCAAAAAGAGTACAGCAATGATTAAAAATGTTGCATCAGCTCCTCAAAAATATAAAAAGTGGAATTATCATCTGAGCCAGACTTTCACTTCTGAGCATATATGCAAAGAATTAAAATCAGGGACTCCAACTAGTACTTGCACTTATAGCAAAAAAGGTGAAAACTGAAAATATCCATCAACATATGAACAGATAAATAAATATGGTATATTCAAACATAAAATATTTAAAGGCCCTCCCGTTGATCGTCGATTTGCTCGAGCAGGCCCAGTAACGTCTCCATTGGAGACTTTGTTGTTACTGTGTCTGGCATATCGAATACTCTCGGTAGCTTGCCGGGCTCTCCGAGAGGGGCGGAGGAATCGAACTCGGGTCAGCCATGTTGGCCGCTTGTAAGACGAATGCCCTACCCGCTGTGCTATCACTCCAGCCCAAAATATTGATGAAAATATTTATTGCTCATATTTTAAATGAACGATATTCTGATATGTATTGCAGCATGTATTTTTATGAATGAACCTTAAAGACATTATACTAAGTCAACACCACCAAGTCTAATAAATCCGACACTAAAGAATAAATATTGGGTGAGTCTACTTATACCATGGTACCTTGGGATGGACTGGAATGAACAAAATAAAATACAATATGATACAATACATTAAAATAAAATAGTCAAATTCATAGAGAGAAAGCCAAATGGCAGTTGCCAGAGAATGGTGGGGGAAGGAGGTAGTGGTGAAGGAAGATCAGTGGGAATGGGGTATCATTGTTAAGTGAGTACAGAGTATGTTTGGATATGGATACTTGTAATGTTGCACAATAACATAACTTACCTCATATCTTTTAACAATATACATTTAAAAGTTAAAATATTATTTGTTGTATAAAATATTATATTTTATACAACAAAAATAACATTTTAAGGGAATGTCATGTTTCAGGTAATTGTGTACGCATTTGCACAAATTCACAGCAGAGTTGTCTTGAAGGATAATATGTATAGAACTCATTGAGAATGTAATTGGCCTTGTTATCACATGTTTATAAGCCACACCTGGCTTTCAGTTTCCCAGACACTGAAATATACATCAGCTTATGATGTTCTCACAGCACCCTTTGACATGATATTTTTCCTAATCCTATTGTACAGATAAGGAAACTGGATCATTGAAAAATTAAGTGATGTAGACATTCCATGTTGCATTACTGTTAAATTTGACATTTGGGCTTACAGCACAATCCCACAGCACACACTCCCATGCTCTCTCTCCTTAATCATCCCACCTGTTGGCCAGATATTCTTTTATTCCAAAAATGAATCACCTAGTCCACCTTTAGCATATTGAAAATAGTGCTCATATTCCAGCTGGCAAAGAATCCGGGTTCCCTCAGAGCCTTGAGTTTACAATAGTGATGGGAAGTTGGCCAAAGATAGTACAACCCCAACTACGATGGAATATGACTTCAATTTATGAGCTCTCAGTTTGTGTTAATATAAGCAAAAAACATTTTCAAGTATTTAAGTATGAGATCAAATATTTAGATAAATATACAGCAGATTTGCATTTTCATAAGCATGATATTTCATGTAAAAATAGAGCTAACCAAAAATAGCTAATTGTTGGAATACCATTTAGGATAAGCATACCAATATCCTAAGAATCTTATCTCAAATTCAATGCCAGAGAATGTCTGTTTCTTAAAGTAAAAGAAGTGATCAGAAATGTTTAGTCATATTTCTTGGCCAAGAGCCCCTGCATTAGGAGAATTTAGTGTTTTATAGGTTTCTGAGAGAATACATTGTTATTGGCATTAAAATAACTGCTTTGGGAAGAGTTTCCATGGAAAGGTTGTTGTCATTAGATGAAACAATAGTTCCATCATTTCTGTAACATTATTCTTTTAGGCTTTTGAAAGAAAGGCAATGAGATACTTGCAGTTCCTAAGACTAATTTTCATCATATACTTGAATATTCAAGGACAGGAATTTTCTCATTCACTTCATTAATGCTATTTATAAGAAATAATCAAGTAACCAAAAACACTTTAAAATTATTTTTCTGACTTGCCACAAACCAACGTCTGCTAAGATATTTAGTTTTTTTTTTCACTGCTCAGTCTTACTGAGCAGGCTGACATATCTAGAACAAATAAGCAGAGGACAGTTTTAAATATTTTTCATTGTCATCACAAATTCTTTGTTCCCCCTATCTTGCAACATATCTGAGATACTCTTTTCATCTTAGTGGTTAATGGTCTAGTATGACTTAAATTGAAATTTAAGTTTATAATAATTTAAATGAGATTTAAAGTTCATGTTTCTATGCTTGCATCATGTTAGAAGTACTTGGTAGCCAACTGGTGAGCTTATACTAGACTGTGTGGGTGGAGAACATTCTTACCATTTTTTAAAATATTTTATTTTTATCAAGTTGTCACAATAGTTTATTACAAATAATGTTCAAACACTAATCACCACATAAGAGGAAGGTGGGTGAAGATTATTGCATTTAGTCCTAGAGCCATTTAAGGCCGTATATAAGATATTAAGAACATGTATGTTAAAACCAAACATATGTGTCAACTTTTGATACATCAGTGTAAGAGTTCTCATGCTCCAGGACGTTCTATGTTGCTCTCTTCCGGGAGCTTTATTTCATAGTCTCTGGATCTCACCATTGATGAGATTATATGGCGCCAGGGGCAGTTTGTGGGTGTGACTGCCAAGCTACAGGAAAACTGGGGAGCTGCAGGGAGGAGGCTTAGTCCTGTTCCAAGCGAGTTTAGAGATCTCAGTCAACAGTCCCGCATACCTGGGACATTTTCACCATTGTAGAAAGCTCCAGGGACTTTGTTGCAAGCAGTTTAGAGTCAATGTGCTTGTTGGAAAAAATTGTTCATGTTTGTTTATGTGCCATCCTGATGACATTTGGATGAGATGTATCATGTGAGAACAAAGCCAGTCAGACCTGGCAGGTGTATCATGAGCTTCTTCTCTGGGCAACAATGAGGCAACATTGCAACTCACTAGGGTTTGTGTATGAAGCTAACAGAAGTCATATGCTTCTTCTGCTTCAAGATGATCTTGCTTGTTTACTCTCAATCTCCTCTGTAACAAGCTCTCTAGGTAACCCTAAAAACATGGCCATCATCTCAGGCAGGCGATGTCCTTCATTTGAAGAATAGTTCTTCTCCAAGATAACTCTTGTGTTCCCTTAGGCAGTCATTATCAATCACACATTAAAAGCCCACCAGGAAGGTCCAGAGGGTAAAGAATTTGCTCTGTACATGGCCAACCCGAGTACCATCCCCAGCATCCCATATGGTCCCCCAAGCACCACCAGGACTAATTCCTAAGGGCAGAGCCAGGAGTAACCCCTGAACATTGCCAGATGTAGTTCAAATACAAACAAAACAAAATCACCTAGAGGACTTTTGGCCCTATGCCCAGAAATTCTGAATTCTGTTTTTTGAACAGTATTTCTCAGAATATGAACAAAATATTCTGGTCTGTAGCCAGGGTTGAGAACCATTTCCCTAAGACCTATGCCAAGCATGTGAAGTTATCTTATTCCAACACATATCAGCCTCTGGGTCAGGAATATCATCTAGAAGACCCAGATAGGGACTGAGAAACTCAGGTTTGATGTATGGTCTTCCTACAGACTAGTTGTAGCATTGGGTAATTTTTCATCTGTCCTAGGCCTCAATATTTTTTCTATTTAATGAGAGAGTATTGATTCTCATTCATACCCAAATTCTATCAATTGATTGATACCAGTTCATACTTAATCTGAACAAATAGAACTCTTATATTGAATTATAAAAATAAAATCTCATATATTGACGTTCCAAAAAGTTCATATACATTTTTCATCCACTATAAGCAGATGCTATGCAGCCTCAATAGCTCTGATCTTACCCAAATAGTTCCAACTGTCTGGGCATACTAAAAGGGCTGGA